TATATGTATGTGTATATATATATATATATATATATATATATATATATGTATACACACATACACACATATACATATACAGTAATTCACCTTATATTTATACCACACTATGTTACACTACTTTATGTTATTGTGGTGTACACCATAGTTTGTGGTATGCTGCTACTGCACTAACCACACCACTACGCCACTATGACACTTATAATTCAGTACAGCTCTGGTCATGGGTAGTGTTTGTAAACTGCTTATTTTGTCATTGTGAGTGTAACTGCTCTTTAATACTTTCCATTTTTATTCTGTTCTTTACTTATTATTCTTTTATTTTATATACTCTAATACTTTGAACACTGATGGCAGAGTCAAACAGTGGTAATTTTCACCTGTATGAAATGCAAAGCATTGTGGGATTGTTAGCAGAAAGTAGAGTACTCACTATAAACACCACTTTTTTTCATTTTATTGTGGTAATTTTCCAGTGCAGTGTATAGGAAGTAAACCTCAACCCCAGAATTGGGATACTCAAATGAAATGGCAGACACAAATATACTGCACTGTGTAGTTTATTGGAAGGGATTTTGGACACGGCCTTATTCTTGTTTGAAAATAAACACTGTGGAATCATTACAGTCACAAGCAGACTCTTTCCTTGATTTTTCATAATTCTTCCATCCAGCACCTGCCCACAGAACTTATCTCTACATGCAGCAATACTTCTGAGACAGTGAGATGAAAGAAAAGCACCGCCATTATTTTCTGAGTTTCTCTGACACACCTACTAACAGCATGCCCACTCAATATCCATTGATTTACCCACAGTGACTGTGCTGTATTTCCGTCCTTGTTGTGGTGTAAATGGGCCAAATCAGCCTCTGGAATGAAAGTCTAAGCCTTTTTCTCTCCCCTCTCTGCCCAGGGCATTCTCTTCTGTACCGGTGAGTGTCTAAAAGCCCCTCCGGACTTGCTGAAAATCTACCTGCACGAGTCCAACCGGGTCTACAGAGACAAGCTAGTAGAGGAGCAGGACTTCCAGGTCTTTGATAAGCTGCAGGCGGACACAGTAAAAAAGTTCTACGAGGTGAGAGTTTTACAAAGTTCAGCAGAGGAAGACAAGAACGGGGCTGGAGGTTAGGGGGGGAGAAGGGGGAAATCATTAGGCTGCCTGCTCTGTGTCTGAACCTGGACATCAGTGGCCAACACAGCGAGGAGAAAGTGGAGAGGAGAAAAAGGAATTGGGGGGGGGGGGTATGAGGGCCAGGAGAGGGTTGGAGAGAATATTAATCAGTGTGGTATGGGGGTCTGGCTGTCAGGGTCTGCGCTGTCAGCCCGGCAAATTGGAAAACATTTTAATGGTTTTCTGTCCAATGCTCCCCTCACTACCCTCTCTGGCTCTATCGCATGCACACTAGTCATGCCACAATGAAGAACCTGACAAGTATATGTGTACACACACCCGCAGAGAGAGAAGGAGAGAGAATAATACTTACCACTCCAGAATATATTATTCAGAGTTGGCACCTTCTGTAAACTTAGGACAATTTGCCCCAGTGCCACAGAGCAATATGCAGCATGTTTTCTTGCTATTTTTACATGCAAACAAGGAAGTCTTTAGAGGCTGTTGCACTGAAAGCAAGTGCATATGATATTATGAAAATGAAGACAGCATCAGAATATAATAAAGATGTGAATTTATAAAAACAACAACATTCATCACACCTACCGTGGCTTCATGCCAATGGAAGTTAGCAGAGAAAACAAGCATCCCTAAGAGACACGCAAAATCTCTCCAGTGAAATTTTCGGGGCCCAACAGTTGCCAGGGTGAAAATGAACTAGGTCACCCTCTGCACAGCTGTGATATTCAGCTGTGTCCCTGTCCAGACTGTTTAAGCATAACACTAATGTTATGCTGACAGGGGAAGTGTGTGGCTTTGTATGTTTACCCCTGCAATATTTGTGTGTATGTATGTGTGTGTGTGTGTGTGTGTGTGTGCGCGTCTCTCCCCTAGGACATGGAGGACACTCTGGAGCAGACCAGGGAGATGAACCTGTACTGCCACTTTGCCCGTGGGCTGGGGGAGGCCAGATACATGGCTGTGGAATCCTGGAGCAGCCTCAATAAAACCCTGCTAGAGGTGCTGGACAGCTACAATGAGGTCAACGCCACACTAAACCTGGTGCTGTTTGAGGACGCCATGGCTCACATGTGAGTGGAAGTTTTGGAACCCCGGGGACTGACTGTATGTGTGTGTGTGTGTGTGTGTGTGTGTATGCATGGGGGTAAAAAAAAAAGAGTAAAGAAAAAAGTGTTTTTGTCAGTTCTTTTATGTCTGTCAAGGAACTCAACTGGCTTCCCAGGTATTTTAGGATTTACAGTTCTATTTTACAGACTGTCACAAGCAGAGACAGGCAAATCTGTTAAAAGTAATCCAGCATACATCATGACAGCTTACAAAAATGCAGAGAGTGGGATAGGTTTTGCTTCAGTCTAAAAATGTGAAAGTACAAAAAAAAAAAAAGTTAAAGGAACAGTTCAACTCCAAATCAAAAATATTTTTTTCTTTTACCTGTTGTGCATGGATTCTCAGCTTGCTCTGCTTTGGGGCTACTTTTGGAAAATGACAGGAGTCCAGGAGCCTCTTGCAGCAGGCTTGCACATGTACATGAAGGCTTGTCTAGGATTTAAGGACAACATGGGCTAAGCCGGGACCTTTGTAGGGCACTTTTTTTGATAAACAAGCTCTTTTTTGATGCTTTTTCGAATGCACTGTTATGTATGTTAAAGGTACAAAAACAATTCCCACTGTGAATCGAGTTATTTTTATTGTAAATTAGAAAATGGTTGGGGGGCCTGATTTGGCCTGTCAGCCATTACTTGAGTATCACTGCTGTAGTGCTGTGTGTTAGTGGATTATGGATTCTTTTGGTGTGATTTGCCGAGTGTTGGAGACATTTGCAATATAGATGTCTGCCTTCCCTCTAATATAATGGAACCAGATGGCATTGTGTCTACTCATGAACGATCATGTGAGATGTAAACATTCGATGTAAATACTCCTTGGCTGAGCTTCAAATTTAGTTTGTTCAGTGGTGCTAGCAGTAGATGTACACTTCCTTCCTGTGTGGTGGTAGAAAGAAAATAGTATACATATTTTCATATATTTTTTGTATATATCTGGGGGTTCAACAGTGTGTTCCTTACTTATCACAAAAATGGGCACTGTAGTGTATTTTTACACCTCATACATCGTCCTGGGGCTGTAAAATAGTCCTCAACAAATGGACTATTTCCTCCTGTTTGTATGGTGTCTGTTGAAATCTACAGTGCTGTCATAGGAAATCACTGAGCCTTTTTAAATTAAAAAATGAAGCTAAATATTTGTGTAGCATTTTTGAGGATTTGTGTCTTAAGTAGGAACCAGTTGGCTGAGAGCCACAGACAAGGTAGGGAAGTCAGAAAGTTATGGGAAATGGACAAACGCATCATTAGACTCTTTTTCTTTAAAAACCAAATATAAGTGATCTGAGGAAAAAAAAGACAAAAAATGTTGTCCTGTAGTGTGTAGGTCAAAGCCCTGTATTGTGCATAAATATGTGCTTGTTTGATATTTTAAAGACAAACTGGACTACAGCAGATAATATTTTGTTTTCTGTTTATGAATCCACAAGTCTGAATAATACAATTGCCAACTTCTTGTTTTTAAAGGTCAGTACTTGTATCTGTTTGATGCTCAGCATGGTGTTTTGTAAAATGTTAGCATGAAACAGAATGCTCTAGAATAATACATTAGCATTTAGGTTCTTATTATTTAATAAGTAAGATGACTGATAAATGTACAAAAGACAAAGGCTAAATTTTCTGAAGGAAATCAAAGTATTCTCACTTAAGCTGAAAATTACAGGTGCATAACCCATAAACAGATTCCCATCTCTTAAAATGTTACATCTTCGCATGTGAAACAGAGTTAAATGGAGGTGTTTGGGAGTTGCAGTTTAGGTTAAAGCACTTAAAGCAGTTGAAGTGTCAGTGGAAGTTGAAGCGCCAAAAATGATTATAAGTGTCAGTTGAAGATGAAGCATTGAGTATAGCTGAAGTGTTAGGTAAAAGTAGATGACATTATTAGAGGTGTATTTGATGTAATTGCAAGTATATTTACAATTTAAAGGGTAACTTTGGTACCTAACATAGCTTGCTAACTTCAGGGCTAACTCTTGCCACTTTATTGAGCAAGTGGTAGGTAAGACATGGGAACTTGGCTTGGGTCATGAGGTGTTGTAGCATGTTTTCATTGACAAATAGCCTAACCTGTTCACTCTCTGGCTCTCTCTCTCATGCACACTAGCTTTTGCTGACATTCGCGCTGAAATGAGACAATGAAATCTGTGTTATGATTTGTCCTGGATTTCATTTGGATTTCAGTTCCCAGCCCTAGTTGTTTGGTCTATGTAATATCAGAAAATTGTGAAAAATGTCAATCAGTATTTCTAAAAGCCCAAGATGACATCTGCAGATGTCTTGTTTTGTCCGCAACCCAAAAATATACAGTTTAGTGTCATAGAGAATTGAAGACACCAGATAATATTCACACTTAAGAGGCTGGAATCAGAGAGTTTTTGATTTTTGTTCCTTGAAAATGTACTCAAAATAGTTTATTATAGATTTATAAGGTTGACAACTAATCGATTTATTGTTACAGCTCTAATTTCTGAGTTGACTTGTGAGCAGTTAAAGCAGTTAAACTGTCAATCGAGGTGTAAGCTAGGAAAGCAATTGAAATTTCAGTGGAAGTGTTAAAGTAAGTTGAGGTGTGTGCCATGTAAACAGTTGAAGTGTCAATTGGTATGTAAGTAGTGATAACAGTTAAAATGTGTTGTTTATTGCTCTTGGCAACGACCTCAAATGAAGCAATAAAAAATAAAAATGAAATCAATTCATTTTATGGATGGACATGAGGACCTTTCTTCTTGCTTTCCTGAAGGCACAAAGATTGTCAGGAGCACAGTAGTGTTCACATTTGGTGCTGGTACATCTTAATGAAACAGAGTGGTGAATATGGTGGTGACAGGCAGTATGAAAGCAGAGAGAGGAGACAGAAACTAAGTGTGTTTGTTTGTCTTTGGCTGTTTGTCTTATGAGTCAGAGACTGTCTTTATCTGGCTCGCCTCCCTCTACCTTTTACGGTATCTCACCCTTCCACCGATTCCTCCCTCACACCTTTCCCTCCCCCAACTGTCTTCACCTCCGCATGTAGCTGCCGTATAAACCGAATCCTGGAGTCCCCACGGGGGAATGCGCTGCTGGTCGGAGTGGGTGGCAGTGGCAAGCAGAGTCTGACCCGACTGGCTGCCTTCATCTCCAGTCTGGAGGTTTTCCAGATCACCTTGAGAAAAGGATACAGTATTACCGACCTCAAGGTATGCGGAGGATTACATTGCAAAAACATACCAGACTGTAAAAACATCCAACTGAACAACTCAATTAGTCACATATTAAGTATCAAATGGTTTCCTGCAGCAAGGTGAGGTTTAATTCTAAACATGGAGGTGTTGTAGACTTAATCCCTACAGTAAACACAGTACTGGTAATCCACAGAGTATCCTCACAGTGATTCAGGTCTCAGGCATGTACCACTGCAAAATAACAAATCTCTAGCCCTCTCACAGCCAAATCTCATTATGTGTGTCACTCTCCCACCCCATGTCTTTCTCTCTCCCTGTCACCCAGAGTGACCTGGCGTCCCTCTACATCAAAGCTGGCGTGAAGAATATTGGCACCGTATTCCTAATGACTGACGCCCAAGTGGCAGACGAGAAGTTCCTCGTTCTGGTCAACGATCTGTTGGCATCTGGTAACGGCAGGCTTCGCTAATTACTGTGTGTCATGTTTTGCAAGAGAGAAATGCTTTTGCTTTGCCACAGCAACAAATCACTGTGATGGCATTTTTTTCTGCAGCATTATTCATCATCTACAACACATCATTGTGAAGCATTGCAAGCAAGGCCGGAATCACATCCAGATTTATACTCCAAATCTGAAGGGTGCAATATAAAGCATTATGAAATCGGAAACTAAAATTATTATGTACTGATGTTTGCAGTGCAATAGTTTGGCAGTTAGTTTGCATAAGTGAATTTGCTTTATAATTTTTGTGCTGGAAAGGATGGCGTATGCCAACCAACAGATGCAAACAACAACAATACTTTTCAACTTTTCTATTTCAAAGTTGAAGACAAACTACTGACTACTGTTTGTACTTCTAAGAGGATAAATAATTCATATTTTTCAATACAAATAAAAGGATGAATTCTTCAGAATAAAACATCTACTTGCTTGATTCAATGCAGGTTTTCTCCTGCAGCTTAACTTGGGGTGGTGTGACCAGAAGTTATGGGGGCTAATGTTAGCAAAATTTGGATGTATATTGCTTTGTAACTGACATTACTGAGTCAGTTTGCTGAACTCTCTTTATTCACTATTACACTACATGCTACTCAACAATACATTTTAGCGTGTCACAAATAAACATTTCAGTGTTTACTTTTTATCACAAAAGCGAAACAAGATGCTAACACACCATATTTTACCAGCAGTGTTGTGCATGTCACTGAGAATTAGTAATTAGGTACAGTAACTACTTACTGCTCTTTAAAATGATTGAATTACTTCAATAAATACTGCATATTAAAGTAATTATTATAAGGGAAAGTGACTTTGCACGCATAGCTATATTATTTCAGTGTTGTGGGACAATGTGAGACAAGATAACTGTCAAACTTTATCTTTGATAGTACCCATTATCACCATGATGAAAAATAAGTAGTGGAACAATAAAGCACAAGATGCTTTGATAGGCCTATTTATTGTAGCCACAACAGACCTTAAATAAAGCAACATCAGATTTTAATCCTCCTTGGCAGAGTAAAATAAGATAACAACTCTCTCTCAGACATTTGACACTAAGTTCTTATCATGATAGGCCAGTTGAAATAAAAGTGATGAAAGCTATTATCAAAAACTTAAACATACTGAGGTTTATCCTTGAAAGGTAACAGTTATTTAAATACTGCACATAGATTACGCCACTGTAGGCCTATTTGTCCTTAACTTATGGAGGGAAAATAACGTCCATATTTCCAGGAAAGCAAGCTCATATTGCCTCAATTGTGTATGCTAACAGTCTTATGCTGATTTGAGGATTCACTGCATTTACTGAGCCGTCATAAGGCTGGATGAGTCACCCTTGTACAGTAAACTAGCTCGCGTCGACCCATGGGTCCTGCATTCCTCAGAGTAACACTGAGTCATTAATAACTTACAGAAACATTGCAGTAGTCGCCTTCTCTTCCCCTACCCCTGTCAAAAAATCCAGGGCGCATGCTGCGTTTGTCTCCTATGATAAAGACCAAAGTAACAAGCCCATCTAAATTACAGTAATCAGAATGGTGTTATTTGATTTTAAAAAGTGATGAGTTACATTTCTAGTTACCACCAAAAGTAGTAGACGTACACTGGTCACCAGTAGACCTGTTTGTTGTTTCTTGCTTATGGTCTCATTCCATTTAAGAGAGGGACTGTCCAAATGACAATTACAACTTTTGAGCTAATGATCATGCAACAGACAAAGACCAATGAAGGTGTAAATGCGCCCCTTGTTGGCGACCGTACTAGCTTGTCCATGTCTACTAGAGACTCATGAGCTAAAGAGAAGAAGTGCAAAGCTGAGCTCTTCTTGATAATGTGTTTAAACTAAGAGAAAAACATGGTAGAGATGATGACCTTGCCATCCGTCTTTATTTTTCACCTGTATTTAGTTTTGATAAAGCAGTCTTTTACTAGTTTTCAAGCGTAATCAATCAGTGTAATTTTTTTAAAATATAAAAATGATTAAACGGAGGGACATTAGGTCAAAAGTCAAGCAACTGGAAGTGCCTGATAAAAATAAAAAAAACAAGTTTAAAAAAAGTACAGTGAAACACAAACGTGAACTTAGATCAGGCTTGATACTGACAATTTTTAGGTGCTGTATATATGTCGACAGTCCCTGCTCTGCTCCTCTTGTGAGGCTGTGACTTAAAGCAGATCTGTGCATTAGCATAAGCCCTGTGTATGAACTCCTGCTGCCACCACCTCTGTTAACACACCCAGATTTGATAAAAGAGTCTCAGTGTCAGTTCAGATCCTAAGAAGATAAGAAAGTTCTAGCAAGTTCTTGCACAAGTTTAACAGAGAGAAATCAAAATGACTGCTTGCCACAATCTTGGTGGTCTTCCCAGTGATAACGTGTGTGATTTTGTCCATTCAAGGAGAGATTCCTGACCTGTTCCCAGATGACGAGATGGAGAACATCATTGGCAGCGTGAGGCCAGAGGTCCGCGGCTCGGGATTGATGGATACGAGAGAAAACTGCTGGAAGTTCTTCATCGACCGGGTTCGCCGACAGCTCAAGGTGAACCAGTCAGATAGTCAGACAAGCACAGGACAAAAAAACTGTGTTCTTCTGCAGTTTACCACTAATCATCCAGAGAAAGTTGCTCTCAGCGGCTCTCCTTAGAGGGAAGTTTGTCATAAATTTCTCTCATAGAACTCCGTCCGTACATGATCTCCACCCTCTCTTAATATAGCAATAACATGCCGCCTCACACTCTAATTGACGATTCAAAAATAAAAAAACCCTCATACTTGGATAAACAGCTGGCTTTATGATGAAGCCTTTCCCTAGACAATTTTCTTTGCTGACATTTTCAGATGAACTTGAATGCTTTCAGAGGCAGTGGACGTCGTTATAAATCACCGGCATGAGCAGAAAAGCCGCCGTTTAGCTGCAGATAATTTCACCAACATGTAGCCGCTTTGTTCCCCCTTGGGAGAGAGGGATTCCAGGGGGTTGCTTATCCTGTCATTATTACAGTGTGCTGCACCACCACCACCCACATCCTCCACCTCCCCTTCTCGCTCCCAGCTCAAGCCTCTCTGGGTTGGAGAGTGAATAAATTGGGAAGGCAATCCCATGAGCACGGGCTTGTAAAGAGTGGATTTCTAACTATTTGGCTCTCTGTCTGTCTGGATGGAAAGGGCGCTTTTCAAAAAATGTTGGCAGTCAGATTTAGAACTAACTCTGCATGGTGAGCACCAGTTTAATTCCCAAGACAAACATTTAAATCATTACTAAAATCAGACCTAGGAGTAGATTTAAGTTTGGACCAGTGGTTCCTAGCCTGGCTTTTGGGACCTCCCACAAGTTGTCATTAGATGTCTCTAAAGGGGTTACAGGATGATTAAATTAATGTGTTTGGACTTCTCTCAAATCTTTGACTTTTTTCTTTGACCTCTTAAAGCAACACAATGGAGTTTTTGAGCCCTCAAAATATATATCCAAGATCCTTGTGATGGTACATCAACTCACAATAGGTTGGATGACGCCTCCGTCATTGCTTGAGAGCATCTGTTTCACTTGCACTGGCACTATGCAGTTTTGGCGATCGCGTAGGAACCTGAACACAAAAAAGACTACAAAATTTGGCTGCTTTACGGCATACGTCATATTCCCCTCCTCGTCATATCCCCCTCCTCTCTTTTTGAATAGCCGAACTGAGGTGAACTAAGTTAGACGTGGTTGTCATGGCTGAAGCGACAAAGAAAAGGAAGAAGGTTGTCGAGGTGTTGTCCGAGGAGACAAAGAAAAGAAAATGGGAGAGCGATAAAACGAGAAAAATGAAAATTTGATCTAATGAAACAATCCAAAACAATCTCACTGAATGGACTTCTTATACTGTTGCTTAAAAGGTGCACACTTTCAAATAAATATGCTGTTATTCAAATATTAACAAAATAGGGCCGTAATTGACAGGGGAGTCGCAGGGGAAAAAACAGGAGAAACTTGAGAGCAATTTGTTCTGTTTCTAGGTAATGCTCTTACACATACTGGTATTCATTTTTCATTGGGCTGTTGCAACTGTATTTGGTGTGCACTGATAGTAGAAAGTGTCTAATCATTTCTTGGTGTTTATTATTGACTGACTTTTGCACACAATTGGCTCACAAGATATGACTGATGAATGTATAAACTGGGGAAAGGCATGTGGAATCTAGTATTTCCAGAATAGTTTTGGCCCACATTTAAGTGTCGGAATAAATTACAACATTTTTTGCCAATACAAAGACACAAATCAGAACTGTAAGGCCATCTGTTAAGTAGGTGCACTTTTTGCTCTCACTGGTGCTAGTAATGCCTCACCAATGGCTCCAGGCACTTTTCTTCTGACCCAGCTGACACAACACCAGAACTTAGGGGTGTAAGCGAGACTTGTGGGTTTGTGAATTATGTTGAGTCTTAAGCCTGGGCTTTCAGTGTCACGGTTGTGGCCCTCTTGTAACCTGGCTAGATCACCATGGCAAATCATGCTGCAAAACTAACCTGGTCCAGTTTATGTCCAGATTTTGGGATTGAAATCAGCCCAAAATTTCCTTACACTTCTTTGGAAATAGTGTCACTCTATAGTCAACAGTCAATCTGCAATCTACAGTGCCTTTCTGTACCTTTTCAGACAAAATACAACAATGGCGTCTCTGCAGTCTGACACCCATTATTTCCTATGTTTTGTGACACCCCATGACAGCTTGTTGCTGTGTCAAGTAAAGCGCATGCACAGTCACAGCTGCACCAAACCCAGCAGCAAGCACAGCTCCAATCATGTTGTGTTTGAAAAGGCCTTATAAGTGATAACGATTCCCAGATGAGGGATACGTTATATGTATGCAAACTTATTGAGCTTTAAGTAATGCCACTGAAGAAAGCCACACAATTAAAGTAGCATAAACTGTATGCATCGCATTGTGCTTTTTTTTGTCATAGTAATCATATCAGTGATGCAGAAAATCTAATCAAGAATAGTGTTTTATTTTATTTGTTGCTCTTACTGAAATACTGATTGTCTTTGTAGTGTTCTCTGTTCATTTACCCACATTGCCACTCTGGATTAGGTTTTAAACTTGGTCCTGATTTGCTGAAGTCTGTTTAACACTGCTGGTATATTACATCTAATAGAACACCAATTAGAAAATTGATTAGTCTAGTGGTATTTATCGCAGATAATATTCAACCGATGAAACGTATTTCACTTTGATTAGGCTAGAAATTGAAGTGATTTCCATGACCATCCATTTCATGATGGGGAGATATAAAAATTAATGAAGAACATGGTCATGTTTAGTTCTGCCTCCTTTTGAGGAGTTTTGTCTGCACTGTGCCCACCCCCCCCCCAGTTTTGTTATCAAAACTCTACTATGGCCAACTATGGCAAACCTGCTGCCAGGTAGTATACCAGGATAGCAGTACTGTGGGGAACATATTATTAAGATTCTCTGCATTTCACTTTATGGATAGTTGTATTGAGGTGATCATGGGTTTCCCAGCAGGTTAATGACAAGACGTCACATGTAGACCTGGCTTCATATAAAAGAATCACTAGTTAAAAAGGTTGCAGTTTGGAAAAGATGATTAAGATATATGTTAAAAAATAATGTTATAAAAGGAAAGCTGTAACCCTATATATAGTGTTCATCTGAATGGTGTCGTTGATTATGTATGAACAGGATGAACATAGTGGTTTAGTTGTGGGGATGAGAATAGGTTTATGTGATTGAGTACTGATGGATTAGTATAGAACAGGAGTAGGACTAGACAAATATGTTGCTTCATCCTACTCCATTTGAAGCATAAAAAGTTAATTTAGGTTGCTTATTGAAAGTCTGTCATATATTGTCATAGTTATGTATGGGTTATTGCTGTTTTATTTGTTGTTGTTTTTTTTGTATATATATTCCTTTTCAAAATGTTCAAATAAAGTATATTCAATTTAGTTCAGTGCGATGAAAGCAGCTGGGGGAAGCTCCAGCGTAAAGCCTTTGTCACAGGAATTGTAAGGTAAGTATGCAGAGACTTCTCTCTCCAGCCTTGATTATCATCAGTAGTGTCTTTGGGTGTGCCTTCTGCATGTTTGTTTCTAATGGTATTGAGCATCTGGCTGAGCTTCTCAACAAGCCAGCTGTTAGTCTCCAGCAGTGAAAATCAGTCTGACGTAGCCCATAGCTTAACACACTCTTTTAATTCACATGCTTGCTGGAGGCTTTATTTGCTTAATGATGTAGCTGCAAATAATTAATTCGCAGTTTTCCATTCTTCCCCCTCTTGACCATGAAGAAGTACTAATCAGAGCAGGAATCCCCCGCCTTTTTCTTCTCAGTGTGACTGTGACTCCAGTTGTACTCACAGAGAAAGAAAATGACTATGATCTTGGTGCTTTATCAGTTGTGTTTGACCTTGGTGAGTGTGTCTGTCTGTCTGTGCTTGCATTGCAGGTGGCTCTGTGTTTCTCTCCAGTTGGTAGTAAACTGAGGGTTCGCAGCAGGAAGTTCCCTGCAGTGGTGAACTGCACAGCCATCGACTGGTTCCACGAGTGGCCGCGGGAGGCGCTGGAGTCGGTCAGCTTCAAGTTCCTCCAGGAGGTGGAGAATATTGAGGTGAGAACAGCTCATACTTTAATATACACACAGGGACGAAGCCACCCACAAAAATGATGTTCACACTCTGAAAATATAATTTCAAATGTCAGGCACCGTGACACAACCAATGTGATATTTATTTCAATAGCAGACCAGAGGACCCGAAAATTAAATTTGAAACCCGAGCCTCAGGAAATATTGCTTTCCAGCCAAATCTACACAGTCATCTTCTTTTAATGGTGAACTGACCAGTTCTGGGATTTATAATTCTTGCAGCCTGAAGTGAAAGAATCAGTCAGTAAATTCATGGCATACGTCCACATGAGCGTCAATCAGATGTCCAAGGACTACCTGGCCAATGAGCGACGCTACAATTACACCACGCCCAAGTCTTTCCTGGAACAGATCAAGTTGTATCGCAGTCTGCTGGGCCAGAAGAGCAAAGACCTCACCACCAAGATGGAGCGGCTGGAGAACGGCCTGCAGAAGCTCAACAGCACCTCCGCTCAGGTACTGTCCACAAGCATCCATTTAGAACTTAACCCAGGTTTCATAAAAAATATTCTGTATTTAAGTGCTTTATCTTACATACTATTCTGAGCCATCATAGCCAGCAAATGGATTAGACTACATCTTTTTTTTTTTTTTTCAAATATATTTGTTCTTTCCTAATTAATTTTGCAATTTTTAGTGTTTGGGGCCCGTGACCCCTCATTTACATTTCGGAATTCCCATGATGTCGCAGTTACACAGCTGATCTTAAAAGTCCAACAGCTGACTAAACAATCTTACCACACAGTCCATTTAGCAGCAGCTTTGGTGCTTTTGTTTATATTCCATGATCCTCACTAACATATGGAGTATGCCATGGAATTGTAAACATAGTTGTTTTTAAAGCACTCTAGGGACTTCTCATCCATCAGTTGGCTTACAAGTTAATCATAACAGTTAATTCTTGACTTTGGAAGGCCTCTGGAGGCAATTGGATAGACCCACAACCAATCAGGGCAACAAAATATGTGACATAGCACTGATAGATGGTCTCTGAGCAGACTATGGCATGCAGAAATGGTCTTGCATCATCAATATGTCTGTGAATGAGTGTTGCAGGTTATGCCATCAGAATTTGAAAATAGTATGTTAACAGTAAGTTCCACATCTTCTGCCGCCATCTTGGTTGTTTTTGAAAATGCTTCAACACTGCACCTCTTTACGAAACTAGGTTTATGCTTGCTTTGTTTCCCCCTGCAGTTGGAGGGTGGAGGCAAGTTGTCAGTCATCATATCAAACCTACAGCATATTAGATAAACAGTTGTGATTGGCTCAACTCAGGCCAGGTCAACAGGAAATCGGTCTGGAACAGGAGTGGGACCAGAAGCATTTACTAGAGCAAATACAAGACATAAGCTTACAGATTTGTCTAGATCCTAGATTACCATTTAGTAGCTGTTCTGATTTCACTTTTAAGAAGTAGGAATAGATATTAATTTCACACTTGTGTCGGAGTTTGACCAAAATGAACATAGGAATTAGTCCTCTAGGATAGCCATCTTTCTTGCTAACTGCATAAGAATCCCCTTTCTAGCTAACCAAGCTAACTTCATGCCAGTTTGTTTTCATGTGTGAAGCTGTGGGTTGCTTTCTATTTAGCTCATGTACTGGCTAGAGAAGTAGCTGCCAGGTTAGCATGACTCATATTCAGAATGGCCACAATGACAAGACTATGACCCAGGCTGAAAAATAGCTACGCTTTCCTTTTATCAGTCAAACAGCTGCTCCATCTCTGTTCATTGGGACCCTGAGCACTGCTGCTATTCTCTCATACCAGGTAATGAATGCCTTTCAAGTGACAGCACAGGGGTACATTGGTCAACATTAGCTGTCTGGAATTAAAAAAAAAAAAAAAAGCTAAGGCACTGACTAAAATTGAGAATCACTGCAGTTCTCACTAGAGGTGTCAGCTGTTAATCTAATGGTTGGCATCTTGTTTTGGAATGAAAATGATCTGAAATAGTATATTAAACAGACAGTTCATCCCAAAACCAAAACTACATATTTTTACTGTTACATGTAGTGCTTTTTATTAATCTAGATTGCTTTGGAGTGAGTTGCAGAGTGTTGGGGATATTGGTTGTAGAGATGTCTGCCTTCTCTCTACTATCATGGAATTAATTAGCACTTTGCTTGTGGTGCTTAAAGCGCCAGAAAATACATTTAAAAAACTCAACAGCAATGCCTCTTTCCAGAAATCATGCCATGGTTACATAAGATAATCTACAGACCTTATTGTGAACAGTTTCATGTTGGAACCTTTTTCTTTCCACCAGACCACACCTGCCAGCTGTATCACTGTGTAAAAAGGGGCGTGTATCTACTGCTAGCTCGCCTAGCATCACTAAACTAATGTTACAGCTCAGCCTAGCAGGACATCATTAGTGTTTACACTGGTTTACTGGTGTGATAGAAGTAGTGCTATGTATAGTAGTAATGATTGCAGTAATAATGGTAGTAATAGTTGTAGTTAGTTTTCTACTTGTAAGAAAGGAATGATAAAGTAGTAATAATCACAATAGCAGTAGAAATAGTATTAGTCTTAGTAGTAATGGTGTCCATACTTTATATATGCCATACACAGCCAATCACCCTACTTAGCTTTACGCAGAGTAGAAAAATACCTGGTTGACTCTTTGTCCTCTCTTTATTTTGTCTCAGGAAATGTTTATTTGCATCATTTGATGTTTCCATCTTTAATATCCACACCTGGATCCATTTGTCCAAATGTTTACCATCTCCACACCTTTGCAGAAGAGAGTTATATAAATAATGCAACACAGGGTCTGTGTATGAAGCAGCCCTAATTATAGTGGCACTGTGCAAGTAAATGTAAAACCACACACACACACACACACACAATTTTCACCTACATACTGCATCCTCTCCGCTTTGCATAAACATGCCCACACACGCCACCCGCACAAAATCACACACATGCGTAAACACCCTTTACACATAAGTGACATCAATGTATCGGAAGGCACTGAGTGTCCTGTGTTTTTGTTTGCCATCACCCGTTTACTGTGGGAAGGAGCCAACACACATACACACACACACACACACACACACACACACACACTGTATATAGGGGCTGTATGGTAATTGAGAAGCCTTCTAATTAGAGAGCACAGCCTTTACAGCAGCAAGCCACCATTAATGCACCCTGTGTTTGTTAGTTCATCCACACTGATAGCCGTGCTGCTATAAGTACTGTTATTTAATATTCAGTGCAAGAGAATCCCAAGCTCACAAGGGGCTGCTGTGGTCATGATAAACAAGGAGAGTTAAAGCAAAGGGTGTGTGTGTGTGTGTGTGTGTGTGTGTGTGTGTGCGCACGTTTGAGAGCAGTGATCAAGCATACACTGTATTCACACACAAAAGCACACACACATATGTGCCTCACCCTTTGTTACAATGTAGTATTAATGACAGTAGTTCAAGTAGTAATATTAATAGTCCTAGTAGCTGCATGTTTCATAAAAGTGGTAGAAGTAAGAAGTACAAGTATCAACAGTAGAAGTAATATTAGGAGCAGCTGTACTAGCAGCAGTTGTAGTAGTCACGGTTCCCTCGGATCCTTGAAATCCTTGAAAGTTCTTGAATTTCAATCAAGGCATTAAAAGTTTTTGTAAATAGACATTAATCATTAGAAGAGCTGGAGTTTAGATATGTTGTAGAAGAATAGAAATTAAAAATGGTTTGATATTGTTTGCCATCTCTGCCTGTGTCACGGCACAGTTGAAAGGTATTCACACATTCAAGCTTCTCTCTCTTTCTTTTTCTCATGATGAACATTCTCATTCTCAACAGTAACTATAACCTTGATCAGCAAATCAATCTGCCATGTTGGGTCCTTGAATTTGAGGGAATTCAGCCTGGAAATTCCTTGAAAAGCCATCGAATTTTATGTTTGAGAGGGTTCAGGATCCCTAAGTAATAGTAATAACAGTGGTACCAGTAATACTAGTTGTAATAGAAGTAGGGCTGCACGGTATATGCGGTAGACGGTAGAAATGATATAAATTTGGCCCACGGTAGAGATTTGCGCTCTACCGTCCTATTGTCGATGACGTCATCGCACCTGCCTCAGTGTGAAAATGGCTGCGAGCACAGAGACAGCGGAGCAAGAGGAGCTGGTTCACGTCCGTGATTTAGCGTAGCACGTGCAACATGTGTTGCTGGAGAACTTGTGAGTGAGTGAGTTAATGTTTTATGAACAGCCCCGGACTTCTCAGACTCTCGACTTACCGCCCAGAGGGAACTCATTCAGCGTCTCCTCTGGCAGCAGCACAGCGTCTCTCCCTCTCCTCTCTCGCCGTGCGCACACGGGAGTTGGTTTTCGGCAAGAGAGTTTGTCATAAACCTTTGGTAATGTAAGCCTATGTGACGCTAGGGGCTCCACAAAAAACTCCATATGTGAATGTGTGATAGTTGTGGTATCATAACAGCCTGTCACAGGTTACAGCCTGATGATTAGAGGAGAAATGGCAGAGTATAAAGGTCCAGGTGGAAAAAACACAACTCAGTCATTTAGGATTTTGCTAAAAGAAGGAAATTACCTTTTGATATAGATCCCAGGGGACATTTTGCACCATAGAGTACTGGGTTTTAATTTTGAGTTTTGAGATCTGTATTCTGCACAATAAATGCTCTAAAAAATACATTATATCTTTGCTTTTTTTTTTTATCAATTTTGCTTTGCTAAGGGACTACAAAACCCATTCAGAAACACTTCTATTATAACTTTTACACTTAAATTTATACCACGATATATACCGTTACCGTGAAGGGATTCGATTTATACCGTGCTATAAATTTTAGGTCATACCGCCCAGCCCTCAATAGAAGTAATAATACTTACTAACAAGTAGTATTAGCTGTAGTAATACTAGTTGTAAGAGAAGCTGAAATTGAAGTAGTAATAGTAGAAGTAGTAGTACTTGCATACTAGTCTTGGTGCAAGTATTTATAGTAGTATTGCAGTATTTGTCAATTGCTGTGGCTCATTTTTAAACAGTCTTAACATTCTGTACTGTAAATGCACTTGTCACAACTGGTGCTTGGGACGTTTCAGCAGAAGGTCAATACATATGAAAAATCGATACATTACATTTACTTGTGTAGCATTGTGTTAAATGTACTGTAAACATAAATTTCACCTTTGATTTTTCATGTAAAGTCATATACAGTGAACAGAAATTTTGCCACAAAATGACATCAGTGCAAAAAAACACCCCATACAAACAAAAGAAAGATTGGTTGATCATGGTTCCAAGCTCATTACTGTCACCTGGCATGCATTGTGCCACTTTAGCAGACGTCACATCACAAACATTCCATGCCAGAGATATTTATGGAATATACATGTACGCCTGACAGATTTTGATAATTGAGTAGATCGTTTTGTTTGTGATGGCTCAAACAATGAAAGACTGTTTAGAAGTTTTGAGGAGTTTGACAATTTCACTGAGAATCAACTCATCAGTTTTGATTAGCAAGCCATGTGCAAGTAATTATAGTGCCAATTGTAGACGATCTGACTTTGCACACATGCCAAAACGTGCAATATGTTTGAATTAATGAGAAATTCAAATCTGTTGTCAACAACAAAGTAATTGTTCAGAGATTTCAACTTACTGTTTTGAAAAAAAAAATCTCATTCATGAATATAAAACTGTAATATTAGCAGCATTTAGTGACTCCTGGCAGTCACCCGAGTGGTGTTTAACCTCATCTGTAACCGGAATCAGCTGCACCATGACAGCTCTTTGCATTAGGAGAATAAAAAATGGCAGGTTTCCCTGAAAAGGATAAAAACTGGAATTAGACTTTTTCCCTTCAAACACACACTCAGCCAGATGTCTCTTTGTTGCATGAATGAAGCTATACTTAGTCACCACAAGTCCATAAGCCATCACACACGAGGATGAACGGGTGTAGTCTCCTGCTTTGGTATCAAATGTTATCTTGCCTTAAGAAACAGTTGTTGTAATCTACATTTACAGCAGCAGGGAGAGAGAGTGGGTTGTTTTATACAGTCACAGCACAGACATGCTTTCCTGCTTGGATTTCCATCTGCAGTGGATAAACACAGAAGCTGCTCAGATGTATTGAATATCACCCATGTCTCCCACCAATTACTTTGTCCTTCTTCTCCCCCACCTCTCCCTTCCTCCCTCTCTTGTCTCCCCCCTGCCTATTCATCATGTTGATGGCTCACTTGGTGCTCGTCTAGTGTTCGACTGAATCTTTTGCGCGGAATCGTCGCAACCCGAAAGGGCCGTCTTCCCTCTGGCCTGATTTCCTGTTTGTTAATTAGCTGAAAGACAAGCATGAAAAACAGTCTGTTTTTATTTCCCCAGTGCAACATTCTGATGGAGTCGGACGGTAATGCAGAGCCCTATTTGTTGGGGAGTTATGAGGAGTTTGTAACAGCTTTAATTTCTCTTTACAACCATCCTTGGTGGTGTGCTTTTGTGTTTGTGTGTGTGCTGATAGCAGCTCTTGATCCTAAAGCTTTTAATTTTTTCCCTAGATATGCATGCCATTAATCTTTTCCTGCCCCTTTATCTGCTTGGACAGACTAAGATTTTTTTCCAGTAATAGATTAAAGGTCACATGCACGGTCCATGGCACAATCCTGCAGGGCACAAAATGTTATCCGCAAAGGTTTAGGCCCTTTGTGAAGCTTATTTGCTCAGCTTTCCTAAGCCACAGAATCCTCTTTATTGCTTTGAAGAATCAAGGAGATGTTTAGGTTTCAATTAAATTGCCACTGAGCTCGATCAGCGATTGTATTACTAATACGATCCAACGTGGATACAAACAATGAAAACAAACAATCGGTCTTTCGAAGAGATTCAATTAGATGATAGTGATAGATTCATTAGTGTCCATGATACACACACTGATTGCTACTTATATCATTTAATGGGATAAAAACAGATTATTGTCAGCAGCCCGACCCCTTTGCTCTATTGACTACTCCCCTCATATTAGCGCATGTGGTCTGTCCATGTTAGTAGACTGGACACACTCTGTCATTTGAGAGTATTCCTGTGTTTACTTTGTTTACATTTAGCCTTTGTCCTGTATGTGTCCACATGACCGACGGAACATCTTTAAGTATACCAGCTCTTCCTCTTCTGCATTTGAGTCCTTTGGTCTCTGTTCTTGGAAATATCTGGTCGATCAGGGGAGACCAGGTTAATTGTAACAAATTTTAATTTTTATGCCATTATTCAAAATCTCTCAAACTATTTGGATACATTTCTACGTGGGTAACTTGTATAGTGTTCTTCTTGTAAACAGTCATTAATTGACTTTACAAGCAATGTTAGAGTCACAGTATTGATTGAAACACTAGAAGTCAAATGTTACATCTGCCCTGATGTGCAGGGGCCATTGTAAGACCATATGAGGGTAGGGAAAGCTTTTATCACGTCAAATTTGACATCTGTGGACAAATGTGTGTCTAAAGCACTCCTCGTGTTAGTGGCCACTAAATATCTCATGGGATTGCAAAATAAAACTCATGCACCCTAGCACTGCTGCTGAGAGATTAATATAATATATGGTGTCGAGAAGTGGTTAGCCTAGCTTATCATAGGCAGAAATGCCAGACAAACTGCTAGCCTGTCCAAAGTTAAAAAAAAAAAATACACCTGCCAGCATCTCTAAAGCTGACTGATTACAAACTGACTACATTTGTGATTGTAGACAGTGAGAGAACTCTTTCTTGGCAAACAACAGCCAGACACAAAAGCTTCCTGAGAAATTTTGTTGCGGTACGAAGCTGTGAACTGCCAAGTGATAAACTATGGTGAGGCGAGCCAGAAGCCATTGTCTGAAGTAATGTTATTATGCTTTTGAGAAAGGCGAAGGTCCTGAAAGATACCTATATGCGTCTTCTTTCATGTTTTTTCTTTGTTTTTTGACGGACAAAATGCTGAAGTTTGAATTATGGGTAGATTGATAAGCCTACATACAGAGAGTACTCCATTCTGGTCGAGTGAATATGAGCTGCAGTTCATTCATCCAGATCTCTTAAGTCTCGGCTGAGCTATCAGCCCGCCACATCCTCCTGACCTCTTGCTCTCTCTGTCTTATCCTCTGATAGGTGGATGACCTTAAGGCCAAGCTGGCTGCTCAGGAAGTGGAACTCAGGCAGAAGAACGAGGACGCTGACAAGTTGATCCAGGCAAGAACATGTGTTCCTTTTTAGACACACTATGAAAAAATATCATTGTTCAGTGTTAGTATTTTCTTACTTATTGTCCAGAACCTCTAGTGGTGTCTAGTCATGCAGATAATTTGGGTTTTATCTGCCCAGGTTTTCATCTGTTGAGATCTCTGCAGTGACCCCAATACAATAGGGGTGAATTGAATTTCGCTTACAAACAATCCTTCCAAGAACAATATCATATTTGCTCTGGATAATCCACAGATAGAATAATGTGTTGGGTGTGGAAACTGCTCTCTATAGCCTGGACCTGTGATCTTTTACATCTTCTGTTATTTTGTTTTACAGATCAATGTAACCTCTAGTTTTTGTTGAATATTAAGTCACCAGTAATTTCACAGTTTGTCTCTTGTTTTTAGTTCAAACTGAGCACTAGATTATTTGTTTGGGAGGTTATATCTTCCATTGTATCCATGCTGTGAAAACTAAGCCACTGGCTGAACTTGCACCATTATCCCAGCAATAAATCCTGTGTGCTGTTTTCAGGTGGTTGGGATAGAAACTGAGAAGGTGTCCAAGGAGAAGGCAGTGGCTGATGAGGAAGAGCAAAAGGTGGCAGCCATTGCTGTGGTGGTCAGCGGCAAACAGAGAGACTGCGAGGAGGACTTGGCCAAGGCAGAACCAGCTCTCCTTGCTGCTCAGGATGCCCTTAACACTCTCAATAAGGTCAGTGACTCTTATATCCCCCGCCGTGTCGTATTGATTTGCTCCATCATACCCTTCTTTCTTAGCTTTCTTCTTTTTAAGAAGGGTTGTGTTCTTTTCTCTTTGTTTGATTTAGTTTTCCCAGCTTCAGTGGAATAAGTTATGTCCACACAGGCCTTGAACTGTAGAAAAGATTATTGAATCACAGGCTTTAGCTGGGTCTTTGCTAAAATAATGTCTTCTGTATGTTCTGCAGGCATTTTACTTCATCCCTGCATCCCGCGTAGGTTTATGAGCAGCCTCTGGGATTTTCAAAAACACCCTCTGTGTTTAAAAGGTGCTCTCTGTTCAAACAACCAGAACAGACAGTTCAATCACTGCTTAGAGCTCTCTAAAGATGCCCTAATTAGAATTCTCTGTTGTCTTCTCAAAGTCAGCACAGGTTCTTCTTCCTTTAGTCTAATCCTATCCTTTTTTCTCTTTCTTTTTCCCCTAGCAGACAGTAAAGATATGCAGTTGTTCAAACTCAATTAAATCATAGCTCTTTCATTTTCCATCCATTACTCCCTCTGTACTTCAGAACAACCTGACAGAGCTGAAGTCGTTTGGCTCTCCGGTGGCCGCTGTGACCAACGTCACAGCGGCAGTCATGGTCCTGACAGCAGTCGGCGGCAAAGTGCCCAAGGATCGCAGCTGGAAGGCGGCAAAGGTGATGATGGCCAAAGTGGACACATTCCTGGACTCTCTGATAAACTTCAACAAGGAGAACATCCCAGAGGCTTGCCTGAAAGCTATTCAGCCTTACCTGCAGGTGAACGTCCCAATTAACTCTCATCCATTAAAGTCCATGCTAACAGCGCACAGTGTGCAATGTCTTCCGCTTGGCAAACTCAACTAATAAGTCAGACATTTAACAGGGGCGTGACTATCATGACAGTGGCACATTATGGCTGTCAAGCGTCCAAATGACAGCCAGAGAAAAATCAACCAGTTAATTAAGCGTTGCAAATTTAACAGCCTCCCTGATTATGAAGTTCAATGGAGCAGGTGCTGCAGATAAAGCCAAAATTCACTCTGATTCAGTTTCCAGACTGTTGTTGTAACATGATTTAATAGGTCTTTTAAAAGACCTTTAATATTTAATATTGGTAGCCATAAACAAATGTTAAAACATGACATCACACTACAAGAAAGCATACTCAGCTACTTTTCGATCTACAAAAAACATTTTGCCAACAGTATTTAAAGTGCTAAGCAGAGAAACATGACCATTTTCAAAACTGCCAAAATAGAATTTAGGGGAAAAAAGGGGGAGAAGGAAGTTACGCATCTCACATATAGGGACCCTGGTCTCTTGCCATTGACTCACAGAGCTATGGATCCGAGACACGAGGTCGGCAGTATGACCCTCCTTGAGAGTGCAGAAAGCCTGATTGTGGTCTTAGTGGTAATGTACGTAAATGTGTACACATATTATTCACTTTTTATTGCCAGTGGGTGAACAGATTGTAACATAATGTAAAAACTGAGACTTCCCCTGACTATCATGCTTGCCTACGTATAACAATCTGCGGACTAATTTCTATGAGAAGGACTGGGAAATTATGCCTCATCTCTCTCTCTAGCGTTACCTTGCTTGCTAACGCGGACAAATTGGTGTCTATCCCGGGGAGCAATATACTGTCTTAAGTGGATAATATTAGCACATTTATCTAGACCCATGGGGCTGGTTTGCAAATTACTTTATCAGCTAATGTGACGAAGCAACAATGTTGCATAGCTCGGTAACAGCCAGCTGGGCAGCCAACTAGCTAATCATAATCTAAGCGGAGGTTAACTAGCTAGCTGTAGCTATGCTGCGTGGATCTGCCCTTCTTTGCTTTGTAACATTCAAGCTAGTTAATATTATGGAGCTAGAGGTCCAAATGAAATATAGAAACACTGCAGATAGTAGCTTTATTCTAAATATAACTGTAATATTTCTTTCTAGCATTCCATCAACATGCCAGTCAGTCTTGTGTATGACATGTCACTGTTTTAGCCGATTCTCAGATGCTCACGTGTGCGTGTACGAGTGCAAGCCAGAGAAACAGAATGCTGACTGCCGATCTCTTAAGAGCCATCAGTGTCATTAATAACAAGGACTTTCTGCAAGTTACAGACAGAACCTTTAGCTTAATTTTGATCAGATCTTGCCCTGGTGGTGTGTTTGAGCGGTGTTTTATTTTGTTCATCTTTTCGATCTTCTCCAGGATCCAGAATTCAAGCCAGATCTAATTGCCTCCAAGTCGAACGCGGCGGCCGGCCTGTGCTCCTGGGTTTTAAACATTGTCAAGTTCTACGAAGTTTACTGTGAGGTGGAGCCCAAGCGTCAGGCTCTGAGCAAGGCCAACGCAGAGCTGGCTGCTGCACAGGAGAAGCTTGCCGCCATCAAAAGCAAGATCAATGTAAGCCATCACATTGGACGAGGGATACAGGAAATGAAAAGTTTATTTGCTTTATGCCAAGTTTGTACTCGAAAAAGAAAAAAATTTCAAGATGTAAAATCCTGAGGATATAATATATGAAACAGTATTACCATTTTATTAAAGAAAGGACTTAGTGTTCTTTGAGGTCTTGTTGTTTTCTAGTCATTTCTTCACTCACACAAACACTAAAGAGCATCTTAAAACTTTTGTGGGCTGACTTTAGTACAAAACATAATGTGGGCTGAAAAATGACTTGTGAAAGCCAGAAATCTCAGCACCTAGCTGCAAAGATTTCAACAGACATCAACAACTCTATTAAACCCAGAAGATATGCAGCCCAATAAGAATTTGATGCCACAGAAATAAAGTAAAAACAACCAGAGGCTATAAGCAGAGGCAAAAATTCAGGATATGAATTATTTTATCAAAGCTTGAGTGACAGTTGACACATGAGCTCTGCCAGAAGTGATATACCACCAGCATTTCATCAATACAAAGCTGGTGTAAGTGCCATTAAAGGCTTTTACTGTTCATTAATCTAAAAACAAATCCATCAACTTAAAACCCCTATTGATAAAAGCAGCTGTAAATAATTGTTTCTCAGTGGCGTTTGACATTCAGCACATCAGAGCGCCCGAGAGCCCCAGCAGAGCGCGGTGCTCGGGACGCTGCGTCGGCTGCTTACATCAAGCCCTGCAGAGTGACGAGTCTTAATAAGATCCAGCATGACTTCTCGCTGTCATTTTTCAGCCCTCAGTCAGATCGCCCGGAGAGCAGGTTCGGAGCCAAGGGGAATTAGCAATCCTCAAACTAATCTACTGAACCTGTGTGCCTCTCCACCGATTAATCCTGTTTGTCCTTGTGCTAATTGCTTCCATATGCCAAATAAATCCATAGCGAAGGGAATGATAAGTTTTACCCAACTTTTCTCACACTCGCAAGTTTCTTTCACAGGCAGACTTTAGCTATCTTTGTCTTTGAAGATTCTCTATGACCACGCTGTATTTTTAACAAGTGCCAATTTGTCTCTATTCCTGTGTGTGTCTGTCTGTGTGTTTGTGGCCTATCAGCACCTTAATGAGAACCTGGCCAAGCTGACAGCCAAGTTTGAGAAAGCCACCGCAGACAAGCTAAAGTGCCAACAGGAAGCAGAGTCAACCGCGCGCACCATTTCCCTGGCCAACCGCCTGGTGAGGAGGGCAACAGCAGGGTCACGCAGAGCATCAGCATCCCACCAACACACTCACACACAAACACACTCTCTTTCCCATCTGTCCCACTTGCTCCTTCCCTCAGATAGATACAGATGGGTACAAATTGGTACATATATA